AGCCATCACGAAGCTCATAAATAATTTTTAATGGAGATAGGCGATAGTAAGCTGCGTCTCGTGTGCATCGCACGATTATTTTAGATGTGAATGACAAGTATGAGTTCAGACTGACACAGAATGGTCGGTATCAACAGTCTCAATCGCAAATGTCCCTTAATACAAATTCAAATAACTTGCGTGATAATAAGCCTTTGCAGTCACAGCTGTGTACTAATTGAAAAAAGCTTCGAACTAGTTGTGAAAATGGTCTTCCATTGCCAGCATTCGTGACATTATTAGTGGTATTACGAGAATTCCGGATCTACTTTCTTTATAATGTAAATACTACTTCAATAAATGTATGATTTAAATAACTTATATGTAGGTGTTCTCCTTTTAGAGCACACTTCAGGTATTAGTCTCGAAATAGTAACTACCGGTATTCGAAACAAATACATAAGCCAGTGGTAGCTGTCTCCTACAAAAAATAAAATGGAGCCAAGTCCTCAATATTTAGAACTATTTACCTGTTTGAAGAAATCGAAGTGTTAAGTGCTAGTCACCCAGCTGCTGCAGTGTATTTTGTTTTTCTATTGCAGGCTTTATTTTTGGTAAGTAAATACTGGAAATCAGCAGCAGACATCCTGAGAATATTCTTGTAACATTACTCATCCTCTGGTTGTAATTTTTCCAACAGATTCTTGATTAAATTGTGATTTTCTCTCTTCTTAATCCAATCGCGTACCCAAATTTGGTGAGATCTCTATTTTTGTGAAGCTATTAAGTAATAACAAGCTGCAGCTTTTCTTATATCCTTTTTTGTAGTTTAATACCAATGAAGTTAATGGGCTATTCAGTTTTGCTTACACGATGATAGGGAACATACAGATCATTTCTATGATGTGTATCATACACGTGAATGTCCGAATTCTTTAAGTTTTTATTTTCATGGACATACATTTTGCACTGATAGATGAAAGTTGAAGGGAGAGTTAGTATTTTATTTTTGTTTTAATAGTGGCTTACGGTAATCGTTATTTTGTGCAATACACAAAGTTCGAACAATCTTTTTTTTTCAATTTTAAAGATTCTATCTGCCTCTGGAGAGTCTCCCCACAACAATATGCTATATGATATCATGTTAATGAAGTTACTAAAATAAAATGTTAAAGCCGTCTCAAAAGTTGAATAAGTTTTCGAATCTGAAATGTAACTTTGTTTAATCTCCCGACCAGCATAATCTATATGCACGTGCCATTTATGTTCACACCTCAAAAAAGGAGGACCTCTGATTTATTTTCATTCAATTTAAGACGATTCGAACGAAACCACTTTTCTGCATTAACAATCGCCTGAATATTTGTAGACACTGCGTCACTTCTACCCAAATTAAGTATTGTCCTGCATATCAAGAAACTATATGTGATCTTATATTAGTATTAGCGGGTAAGTCGTAAATAAGTATAATAAAAAGAATTGGCCGCAGTATTGAGCCTTGCGACATCCCCCAAGCGAAACAAATTGTGGTTCAGAAACATCACCGTTTATATAGCGTAAAATTCAAGTTTGTTTACAAGAAACTGATATCCTTAGAATAGAGGTAATATTTCACAATATTTTGGTGTATTTTTAATCAGTTTAAACGGTAAATAATGATGATTATAAAAATTGGTAAGAATGGGGGCGACAAATGTAGAAGAACAAGTTGTATTCAACATTTTTTTATTGCATTTTATTTTAACAAAAGATATTGACATTTTCGGGAAGACTTGTCCAAACTTCACTAATTTCATTATCAAGGATTGTTTATTTAGAAGCATTTGGGTACGAATACGACGTTCTACTTCTTCCACAAATTTTCAATGAGGCTCAGGATTGTGCTGGCCACTGAAAAATTCGAACATTACTTTCCGCAAACCACTGTTAAACAAGTTGTGAAGAGTGTTTTGGATTGTTGTCCTGTTTGAAAATAATTTTTGAATTTTTGCATTTGCTTAAGGACGAATAATATTTTGCATCCCTATAAACAAAGAACCACACCGTTTCATTAATAATGTGTATAGGATCTACCCCATTTCATCTGAAACCGCCCCATAAAAATACACTTCTTTTACCATATTTAATCGAAGGCGTTACGTATTTAGGATTGAATGTTGTGTAGTACGTTCACTGAATGGAACTTTTGTTCTAGTCATTGACGGTTCAGTTAATTCCCGGAAGGATCATTTTGAGCAATTTTTTTTATGCATCTGTTGGTCGTTACTGTTCTCTGGCTTTCCCGATTTTGGGAACTTCTCTAAGTGTCCCCCGTCATTATACGATGAAATTATTTTAGATGCACTGTCCAGGGTAACACAAACCGTCTTGAAATATCGGCTTGTTTGTTATCTTTCGTTAAAAAAAAAACGAAAATAAACCTGACACGACTCTTCTTCTAAACAATTTCTTTGAATGTTGCTCTACTTTTGACGAGTGGCATTTAAAAGTAAATGTCAAAATGAACTAATTGGTTTTGTTAGTGAAATTTCTCACTTTCACCCATAGTCATGGCCCACTTTGTAGTTTTAAAGTTTATTGTATTTGTATACATAATCATGAATGTACAGTTATAAAATAGATATTCGTAAATATTTTTCGTTGCTGTGCTTTTATCCGTTAGTGGACGTACGGTTAGAAGGGGTTGATTTAATTATAGCAAGAATTCAGTGGCATGTTTCAGTTTTTATGACCAACACACCTCGAGTCGTGGCAATCGTTTCCATACAATGAAAAGGCGAATTTGTTGGATCAAAATAATACGACAGTGGCGTTGTCCACAGGTAGTTATTAGAATAATAAATATTATAATATAATGATAGCCATAGGTAGATAATTAAAATGTTAATTATTCTAAGAGAAAGTACATAAAAACTTAGATAGAAGTAAGACTACTATGAAAATGGATAAATTGTAATAAATTTTACTATTTAAAAGAACGCTATTCGTAAATTTTAGTCAGCATATTCCAGAGAAATAATAAGGGACTCTACAGTGGTTTCTAGCATGATATCAGCTTCCCAAATACTCTCTATAATTTCTCATTTTTAGAAAGCACAGTTTTACTAGCCCGCTTTTCAGAACGAATTTTGTCAACAACTGTCAGAATGTAAATAGAATTTGAATTTTAAATACTAAGGCTATTCTCGGAATCCTTGACAATACGGCTAAAACCTCTAAGTTTCGCAGTTCAAAATAAATCATAAATCATCATAAAACTATTCCTATAGGACAATATCATCGAAACTATAATTGTAAACTAACAAATTGGTATTCTTAAAAAAGAAAATATGATTGCTAAAACCCAAAAATATTTTTCATCGATTCCTTAAAATTTCAATTTGGATTATAAATAACACTAACTGTTAAATTGTCATTGTCACTTTTTCAAACAGAAAGTTCTACAGCTTTGTCTTTATTTTTAATTTATTATGATATTTAACTTATAATATTTCTCGATAATTAAGTTTTATTGAAAATCCAACCTACCACTCAGCTTATTTTAGAAATGAAATAGTTACCCATCCATTTCTAGATTATTTTATTGTATCCACGCATAAATAACAATGTGCACTCGTCTAGCCACTACATATTAACAGTGCAATAAAACAGCTGATGTGAATAAGATGTAAGGTTATTCGATTTATAATAGGTTTGTTCTGCCCGACATAAAACCCACTTTTAAACGGTCATTTCAATTTCACCTACAACTTTTATTATGTGAGCAATTCCAGAATTTAAAACAGCAGATGCGGAGAGAGGAACCTTTATTTTCTTATCTCATTAATCGCTTTCCTTTAAGAGCCACTCGCATCTGGCTTGTGCATCGACATATTTTATAACACAGAGATGGGTTAATGGTCCGGGTTGTTCCTTGTAATTTTTAGTTTCATTTCATTACTTGTTAACAGATATATAATTTTTAGGTTAATATGTTCCATGATAGGAGATATTTTTGGAACAAGGGCATTTTTAGAATCTCTTCATTATTGGTGGTTGCTGTAATTTTCTTTACTTTTTGAAATAGAGTTTTACGAAAACATCTGCGTATTCTTTAGTCGAGATTGCAAGTAGATTTAGCTATAAAAAAGGACACGTCCAATTTTCTGTGTTTGTTATAAATAAGGTTTCATTAAAAAAAAAAGCTCTAATTCCCCGCATTTACATAGAAAATGTGTCAAAAATAAAAAAAAGCATTATTAATTATTAGAATGTAAGATTCTAATGAGGAGACATTAAAATTTTCATAATTCTATTATTACAGGAGTAATTTGACCTGAAAACAGCTGCCATGTGACGCCATTTTTTGTACATAATTGATTTTGTGCTTTTGATCGATGTTTATGCACTAGCTGAGCAAACGTGTAGAAAATGGTTTGCACTTTTTTAAAATGGTGATTTAAATTTAGAAGACTGAAAAGGACCAAGACAGCATTAAAAATTCGAAGATGAAGAATTAGAAAAATTGCTTAGTGAAGACTCATGTCAGACTTCAAAAATTGCCAACTTCACAAAAAGCTGACCTGCCGACAGTCGGAAACGTTTAAAAAAAAATTAGAGATGATTCACAAGGAGGGACGTTGAGTCCCATATGAATTAAAGGTAAGAGATATTAAAAATTTTTGTTTCGTGATTTACTGTTTCGGCGGGAAAGAAAAGGATTTTGTACTCGCCGTATTCTCCAGATGTTACACCGAGGGATAACCATTTATTCGATCAATGGACTGTCAGAGTAAAAGTTGTATGAATCGCATCTAAAGACCAGCAGTTCCTCTGATGTGATTTCCCGAACTAACCAAAGTAATCGAAAATAAAACGCGGTCGCAACGACGTCTTCCACCCGTACCCAAACGAGTCAATTCTTCACTTTTTAGGCGGCAACGCGCCGTCAACAGTTTCGCTATTAACGCGCACGCGCATACGCCATTACTCGCCTGGCGCGCACACGGTGCGCACGAAAAACACTATCACCTCTTTCAGTTTCAATCGGCGGACGTGTTACGCGTGTGCTAACAACATTGTCCGGTTGGAATTTAATTATTTACATTGTTCGTTGTTGACATTTTTCGTAATCGAACGGTGTCAGATTTCGACGGGTGTCGGTTCTTTCCAGTGAACTCGTCTATGCCGCATTCGATACGTGGATTATAACCAAAACTGGCGGAGAGTGAAATGTAAGTTGCCTAATTTAGTAGGTCGATGGAATATTTCAAGGATGTTAATGTTGTGTCAGTGTGTTGGCCCCAAAACAACAATCATGTGCCTTGTAATGATCTATTTTCGTTTGGAATCTATGAGGTACTAGAGAAATAGCGTCGATTTTGACGGCTCGACGAAACTTTGCCGTAAGCCGGTCGTTTTATCACTTCGATCGTTTGATACGTTCTCAATCTACAGATAGATATTTTACCGTTTGCTGAATTTGGGTCAGGACCTTCGGCTGACAACTTGTGATCCGAATTTTAATCTGCCCGCTATCGTATCTCAAAATTTGAATTAGTATTCCATCTTTGGATCCAAATTGAATTTTACTTACAATTTAAATGGCAGAGGGCTTAGCGATAGAAATAGGTAGAACTAGTTTACTGATAATTCTTGTGGTATCGTGTTATAATTTTGTAGTATTGTTATAACAGAAAACTCAGATCAGCGCCTAGGAAGGAGCTTTGGCCCAATACATTTTATTAATTGCGAAAATTTGAGTATAACGTGCAAATAGGTAATTCTATCAAATCCTAAATAAATAAGTTAACGCCTTCAACAACTTACCCGAAGTTTTCTCATAAATGGCGGATGCGCCAGAATATATCTCGCTGTGCGATGTTATGGTCGTATTTTTGAGCAACATTTGTCTTTACGAACAGTTGAAAATCGTTTTATTATTATTCTCGTATTTATCGTTAATAATCGACAATAATGTTTCCAGTTATTTGCTCTGCGATTCTCCAAATTCATGTCCGCACGTGATAGTTAACTTTAACGAGAAATATTAACCAGGATTTTTATTATCTCCTGCCCGATGGTTATTTTATATAGTTCCCATCACTTGGAAGCTCGCTCAGAGCTACCACGAAATTATAGCACGTAACTAGACAGCCTCACTAAACACGGCCAAGTAAGTGCAACGTTCGTTGGTACTGTCGGCGAATTGGTAATTAGCATTTTCATTATTACAGTAAATTTCCTCGCACTCGTATGCGGTGCGAAAATTTCCAAACAGGTTAAAAACTATAATTAGGCGTAGCGAATTCCGTAGATCAGACCACTTATATTTTTATTAATAACGAGGTTTCGCCTCTAAAGTGTCTGTGAGAATGTTCCAATAGTCGCAAACGGACGTTTCTTGCGCACTACCACATTTTTGTGCAATGGTTGATTGTTTTATTTCTTTGATCTATCTCGACCACTTGTGCGGACGGGAAGTTGTGGTTTATGTTTTTTTTACCAGATCAGCTGCCAAATTTTATGAATTATTACGATAAAGTCGTTAAAAAAAAGTTGTACTCCTTGCCAATGAGTTCAAAGCGATTGGTCAGAGGTAATAAATCGAATTGGCGATACTTAGAAACCAACTCACCAAGTTTTAAATAGTTCTCGATGTAAAGCTTTACTTTCAGGTGTAAGAGAAAGAGAAAAAGAAAACTGAATGGCTTCGTAAACTTCGGATTATATTAGTCATCTCTTTGAGGTCTCTTTGTAACGTTGAATAGTTGTTGCGTAAAATCAAAAATAGATAGAAGTATAACATCCGAAAACAGAGAAGGTTCAACTAGACCAGTTTGTGGTACTTTTGATCAGTTAAGGGACTGATTTCATCTATGTTTCGGTAAGTTCTCATGTCACATGTGATCCGTGGTCTCCTACTCCTCCTTCTGGTACAATTGCAGTCTCTGCAGTTTCTATTAGGATTCGTCAGCAGTAAATCCGCCATTAGCAGGTCTGTCTTTGCCCTGATTTGTCTATCTCAATTGCAGGGATTGTTTCCATCTATTCCTGGAATGTTATTTAATTAAATAAAGGAAGTCTTTGAGTACTATTATGTATTTCGCTCTGTTTGTACCGTGCCTTCAATTTATGTTGATAACATTTTAATTGGCTGTAACTTTTTTGTTTTTACATATATCATGGTAAACACAAAAACAAAATGTAGGGTTAGTAGCCAAGTTTTTTCTCCAAGTGACTTATAAAACAAAACACTATCAGTTTTCTGATTAGATTATATAATTTGAAGGAGTGTCGTGACTGCAACAATAATAGTTATTTACAAATTAAAGCAGAACAAAAACACTAAAAATGACAAGACACCACCATTTTCCTGGACACATTTCCCATACACTCTAATTGTATGATATCTTGCATTTAGTAACGTTTCCGGATTGCCACTTAACTGACTGATTGCCTCTAAAATCCTTTGCCAAAGTTCCACTACATTATTACAGGGAGTTATCTGCACGTGATTTTGTTATGCGTCCCCAAAACAAAAAAGTCCATTAAAGTTAAGTCGGGGGTGTTGGCTGGCCAATCTGTAATTCCACTGTTCTCTATCCAACCCCTGGGATATTCCATGTTAAGAAAATTTTTGACTTGTATAACATTGTGAGGAGGGGCACCGTTTTGCTGTCATATAATCAGCGTTGATATATTTAGCGGAATATGTTGTTCTCTTTGGTGCTCTAAGAGTTGCAAATAATGATCTCTAGTTAATTTTGATCTATAAATATCGGACCCAAAATATGCCCATCTATGATACCTCAAAATACATTAATTGATTGGTACCCCGGGGTTTTTAATTCGTGTATTTGTCTAGGATTATTAAAAGACCAATCGCTTTGAAATTATATAAAAATTTCCTATTTTTGCCGATTTATCAAAAACGACTGGACTAAAATATATTACATTTTATATTTTTTATGACATTAGTATTACATCATTGTAATCGGAATACAGTAATATACAAGGTGTTGGATCTATATGTCAGAAAATTGATAGTGTTTTGTTCGACACGTCACTTGGAAAAAAAACTTGGCTGCTAACCCTACATTTTGCTTTTTTGTTTATCTTGATGTCTTTACAAGCAAAAAAAGCTACAGCCAATTAAAATGTTAAATTAAAACGTTTCTGGTAAGTCTTCATATGTAAGTCTTCTTTTTTGGCTACCTAAAATCATCTCCATTTATTATAATTCCCATGGAAGCGACGTTGCCGCTTCAAAACAAGCACCAACTATGTAGAAAAATAAGTACGAGTTTCTTTTCCTGTATTCTCGACTCACGACAAAAAGGATATTTATTACTTATATATATATATTTATGGGGTTTTAAGATGGCGGAAAATTTATGTGGCGTATAAGGCGTTCTTTAACAAAGGAAACGCATAGGTCAAGACTGCTATGCAAACAACACGCATCGATATATCTTCAATATTTGTAGATGTATTACACGCAACAATAGTTGCTTTATGATCCGCTCAAGTACCATTTACCGTCGCAGTGTTTTTGCGAGGCAATATAAATGTTTTTCCGCCGTATAACGCGCGATTAGAAATGCGTGAAAATATTTTCCGCATACGCGGCGCGTGCGATAAGTGCTCGAGGCACTGTGCTTTGATTAGCAGCGAGTAGCTTCTATGTCGAATGATCGAGTCGCAACGGTCGTTTTGGTTTTTGACTACACAGTTTGCGGATTATTCGAATTTTGTGTAGTCTTACCTCTCCATCTCAGGGTCGTGAAAAAGAAACGCATTAATTGATTAAATTCGTAATTTAATAGTGAGGTAAGACAATGCCTAGGCTAGCTCATTAACAACCGAGAAAAATTAATAAAGTAGAAAAAAAAATACTAAACCAAAGCCAAGTTGGAAGGCGGTGAAGGGCACCTCGGTCAGTCCCGGAAGGTGGTAGGTAGGCGCCACGTGATTCGAAAAAGGTAGACTTATCAACCCGAGGTTCCAACCCGTAAAGGAAATAAACAAGTGAATCACGAACAATAATTTATTTCCTTCAACCTGGTGGTAGGTGTGAGTGTCAAATCTCACCTTCAAGTTTTGGCGGTGCAAAAGAATGTAAGACACTATAATTTAAAGCTATAAGTTCCGCAAACCTTTCTTGAAGAGAACAGGCCACTTAAGCTACCCAAACCTCAAGATGTCCCGAACGTTACACAGCTCTCTGTCACTATCCCGGGAACCAAGGCAAGATGGAATGGTGGCTCAATGGGGCAGCCGCAGGTGGGCAGTCCCAGTTAACCCAGCAAAGTCCGTCCGGAAAGCCTGCTGCTCGATAGGGGAAACTCCGCAACTAAACATGTACCCAAGAGACAGGATACACTGCAAGACACCAAGTCTGGTCTGGTATTCCGGTGAAAGAAGAAACTACGTGGAAGGTTTGCGGGAAACGGAGCAACAATACGTACAATACTGATTAAAAAAAAACCCTAAAATAAAATCGGCATAAATTGAGGAACACTGATTAGGTGGCGAAATGGTTCCAAAAGGTAACTTACCTCGATTCGAGGGTTTTCTGGAAATATGGGGCAATGACAATTCTTTTCAAAATCCCTCGTTGAGGAAGATTCCCATTCCAAACTCCAAATAGATCCAAAAGTATGGGAAATCATAAATTAGTGACCAATTTACATATCTCCCTCTTATTGGGGTAGCACTACCGGCTCAAAAAGAAATCGGTCACACAAAAGAAAACCTGCCACAACCCCAAGCTTCAAAAGCTAGCGTACAAAATGCCGGACGATTCAGACAACCAGTTTTATTAAACGGGCACAAAAAAATTGCAGGGAAAACGCCACTCTTGCCAACCTAGTCGACGGTACGCCGCCAGTAGAAAGAACAACCGAACTATATCTGTAGTGATGGCCGTATGGCCCGTGCCAAAGAATCGAGGTTGCGTCAACGAGATCGAATTACCCGAACGCTATCTATGGTGGCGACCGGACGGCCAGTCACAGAAAATCGAGGAAGAATAGGTTAAGAAACAAAACAATGTTTACTAGGCTTGCCAAGGAATACCGAAGCAATGAAAAGCAAATGTGGTCCCTAGTCTCATAGGGTGACAAATGGTAATGGTTATGACTCCTTCTAATGCGCAACTAATACTCTGTTTTTTGCATTAGTATCTCTCAGTAAACCGGTGTCACTTAAGAGAAAACCAAGCGAACGAGGG